AAAAACCCACAGCTAACTACATATTTACAGATGAAAGACTGAAAGGTTTCTTTCTAAGATCAAGGTAAGACAAGGACATCATTTCTCTACTTCTATTTAACGTTGTACTGGAAGTGCTAGCCAGTGCAATTGAGTAAGAAGAAGGAGGGAAAATGGCTTCCAAATCAGAAGGGAAAAAGTTAAAAAACCATCTTTAATCATAGATTATATGATCTTACACATAGAAAATCTCAAAGAATCCACACACAAAAAAACCGTTACAGCTAGCAAAAGAGTTCAACAAAGTTATTGTCTACGGGACATATAGAAAATAAATAGGAAAATGGCAGAAACAAGTCCTTCCTTATATCTGTCATGTATCTATATACTAGGAGTGGACAGTCTGAAAAAGAAATTTATTTATTTTAAAGAATTTATTTATTTGACAGAGAGAGACACAGCGAGAGAGGGAACACAAGCAGGGGGAGTGGGAGAGGGAGAAGCAGACTTCCCGCAGAGCAGGGAGCCCGATGCGGGGCTCAATCCCAGGACTCTGGGATCATGACCTGAGCCGAAGGCAGACGCTTAACGACTGAGCCACCCAGGTGCCCCAGAAATTTATTTTTTAAATATTTTATTTATTTATTAGAGAGTGGGGGGTGGGGAGAGGGAGAAGCAGGCTCCCCACAGAGCAGGGAGCCCGATGCGGGGCTCAATCCCAGGACCCCAAGATCATGACCTGAGCCGAAGGCAGACATTTAACCGACTGAGCCACCGAGGCACCCCTGAAAAAGAAATTTAAAAAACAATTCCATTTACAATAGCATCAAAAGTGTTAAAATACTTAAAATAAATTTAACCAAAGAGTGTAAGACTTGTACACTTTTTAAAAATGACAAAGTATTGTTGAAAAAGTTAAAGAATATCTAAATAAATGGAAAGACATCCCATGTTTATGAATTGGAATACTTAACATTGTTAAGATGGCATCACTCCTCAAGTTGATCTATAAATTCAGTGCAATCCCTATCAAAATTTCAATTGCCATTATGAAATGGACAAGCTGATCCTAAAATTCACATTGAATTACAAGAATCCTCAAACAGCCAAAACAACCTTGAAAAAGAACAAAGTTGGAAAACTCACTTCCTGATTTCAAAGCTTACTATGAAGCTGCAGTAATTAAATCATAAAAACAGACATCTAGATTAATGGAATCAAGTTGAGTCCAGAAATAAACCCATGCATTTATGGTCAATTGATTTTTTTTAAAAAGATTTATTTATTTTAGAGAGAGAGTGAGTGAGAGAGTGAGAGAAGGGGCAGAGGGAGAGAAACAGACTCCCCACTGAGTGGGGATCCCGAAGCAGGGCTTGATCTCATGACCCTGAGATCATGACCTGAGCTGAAACCAAGAGTTGGGTGCCCAACCGACTGAGCCATCCAGGAGCCCCTGTGGTCAATTGATTTTTGACAAGGGTGCCAAGACCATTCAATGGGGAAAGAATAGTCTTCTCATTAAGTGATGGTGGGCAGATGGATAGCCACATGCAAAAGCAACCCTTAACTCACATCATGCACAATTAATTCAAAAAACAAAATAAAAATTAATCTAAGATCTAAATTTAAGTGCTTAGAGAAAGAAAACATAGGGACAGATTTTTATGACTGGATTTGGCAATGTTTTCTTAGATATGACACCAAAAGCACAAGCAACAACAAAGAAAAAATTAGATAAATTAGACTTTGTCAAAGTTAAAAGCTTTTGTGCATTGAAGGATACTATCAAGAAAGTGAAAAGGCAACCCACAGAATAAGAGAAAATATTTGCAAGCCATATTTGATAAGAGTCCAGTATCCAGAATATATCAAGAATTCTTATAACTCAGTTACAAAATGATAATCCAATTAAAAATGGATGAAGGATTTCAACAGACATTTCTTCAAAGAAGGATTTAAACAGACATTCATATAAATGACCAATAAGCACATGAAAAGGTGCTCAACATCATTCATAATTAGGGAAATGAAAGTGAAAACAACAGTGAGATGCCCCTTCATAAGATGAGTATAGCAAAAACAAAAACCTCCAGAAAATACCAAGTGTTTGCAAAAATATGGACAAATAAGAACCATCATACATTGCAGAGGAATGTAAAATGGTATTGCCACTGTGGAAAACAGGGCAGCAGCTCCTCAAAAAGATAAAATTAGAACTATTATATGACCCAGCAGTTCCACACCTAGGCATATACTGAAGAGTACTAAAAACAGGTGTTTACAGCAATATTATTATAGCCCCAAACTGGAACCAACTCAGATGTCCATCAGCTGATTATGATTGGATAAACAGAATTGGTATATATACACACTGGTATATTAGTCATAAAAAGGAATGAAATACTGCTCCGTGCTACATGAGTGAACCTTGTATATATATTACAAGTCCCTGAATGACATACTTTAAAATTAGCCAATTTTAGTATGTGAATTTTACCTTAATTAAAAAAAACCCCAACCTTCCTAACAGTGAGATTCATTCAATACTTATAAAATTAATTTCTGTATTAACATCTCCATTAAAAATATTTTTGAACTGGGGCACCTGGGTGGCTCAGTCGTTAAGCGTCTGCCTTCGGCTCAGGTCATGATCCCAGGGTCTTGGGATTGAGCCCCACACCGGGCTCCCTGCTCCGCGGGAAGCCTGCTTCTCCCTCTCCCACTCCCCCTGCTTGTGTTCCCTCTCTCGCTGTGTCTCTCTGCCAAATAAATGAATAAAATCTTAAAATATATATGTATTTTTTGAACGAATATAGGAAAGCTCTTAGAGGAAAGAACCTCTTTTTATCATATAGCTAAACTGTAATTTAAAATATTTATATTTTGATTCTACTGCATCAATTTATACCCATCTAGATCTTTTTTTTTTTTAAAGATTTTATTTATTTATTTAACAGAGAGAGAGATAGCGAGAGCAGGAACACAAGCAGAGGAGTGGGAGAGGGAGAAGCAGGCTTCCCGCGGAGCAGGGAGCCCGATGCGGGACTCGATCCCAGGACCCTGGGATCATGACCTGAGCCGAAGGCAGATGCTTAACAACTGAGCCACCCAGGCGCCCCCCCATCTAGATCTTTTAAAAATGTTTTTATTTTGTTATTTAAGAACATTTGAATTGGGCTTAGAATGGCAGTTTGGGAGCCTAGTGTTTAATTTTTTTTTTTTAAGATTTTATTTATTTGCGAGAGAGAGAATGAGAGACAGAGAGCATGAGAGGGAGGAGGGTCAGAGGGAGAAGCAGACTCCCTGCTGAGCAGGGAGCCTGACGCGGGACTCGATCCCGGGACTCCAGGATCATGACCTGAGCCGAAGGCAGTCGCTTAACCAACTGAGCCACCCAGGCGCCTGGGAGCCTAGTGTTTAAAGCAGCAATATATCTAATGTTTCAGAGAAATCTGATATATGTAATGGAGAAATTTCTGTTGGTTAGTGAAATTATCATATAGTTCAATTTAGTGTACTATTTGAAGGATGCTGAAATGGTTCGATTTGCATTTTCTGAATTCAGAAGATCCTCCTTGTCCCCAGCGGTTTGATAGCTACCTTGCCATCATTTTTTTAAAAAGATTTTATTTATTTATTTTTTTAGAGAGACAATGTGAATGGGGGAAGGGGCAGATGGAGAGGGGAGACAGAATCCCAAGCAGACTCCCTGCTGAGTGTAGAGCTCAATGCAGGGCTCAATCTCACAACCCTGAGATCATGACCTGCGCTGAAAACAAGAGTCCCAGGCAACCCCCCTTGCCATCATTTTTGTTTCATGCCTGGTCTTATACTTTTGCCAACAATTTCTCTTCTCTTAAACACCGTTCAATAGAAATATAACATGAACCATATATGTAACTAAATTTTCTGGTAGCCAGATTTTAAAAGTAAAAAGAAATAGGTGAAATTAATTTAACGAATATATTTTATTTAGCTATATTCCAAATACTAAAATATTATTTTAACATATAATTGATATATTTCTTAAACTATTAAAGTATTTTACATTCTTCTAAGTCTTCAAAATCCAGTGTGCACGTTACACTGACATCAGATCTCAATTCGGACTAGGCACGTTTCAGGTGTTCAATAACTACGTGTAGCAAAGGACTTCAGTACTGGACAATGCAAGCTTAGATAATCAGAACTAGGACATTGTCTCCAGAAAAACTAGGATATGTACTTGCTATTTCTGGGAATGGAAAGGAAACTTTTTCTCTTTTTTACCCCCAAACAAGTTAACTTACCTTATTAGCCAGCTTTTGACGTAACTGATACAAAGAGAAATCTTTGTGTTTTAGTGGGATGAAGAAAGGAAACTTGGAGTGAGCCTGGGTGTGATGAGTAAGAGCAGCAGTGTAGGAGGAAAGACTGGAATTCAGACCAAGGAAGTTTTGCTGTAATACAATTGAGGCTAAGTCCAAGAGAGGATGGGGGCAGCACGCAGAAGGAAGGCTCAGGGTTGGGAAAAAGGGCTAGCCCTGGAATGATATATTTCAAAGTCAAATGTTAAAGGTACCTAGTTGGCCATGGGACTTTCTTCTCAATCTTCATCCTCTCCCATACTTGCCCCTGTTAGATGGATATTACAGAGTATATAGTGGCTAAGAGCAGGCATGACCCCTAGAGTATATAGTCCCTTGAACTACTTTTTAGGTAATTCTTTATAGATCTTATTCCCCCCCCCCCTTTCACAAAAGGAAAATATGAGACAAGCAGAGAATAGATAGAGAAGTAGAGCAGGTAGAAAATAAAGCGAAGAAAAGAAAAGTAGGAAAGGAGGAAAACTGTGGAAACACCAAAAATATACCAATATACCCCTAATAAATTAGAATATTGAGTGAAGGTTTTTTTTCTTCTTCAAGAGATGGAAAATGTAGGTAAAGGTAGGGAAATGTGATGCAGAACAAAGGGCATATCCAAGAGAAAATACTTCTTCACCATTTTACTTAAAATTGCCTTGCTTGCCTTCTTCATAGCTGTGCCACTGCATACGTTCTACTGGCTGAGGAAGAAGCAACAACTATTGTAGATGCTGAAAGATTATTTAAACAGGCACTCAAGGCAGGAGAAACAATTTACAGGCGGTCACAGCAGTGCCAGCACCAAAGTCCTCAGCATGAAGCTCAACTGAGTAAGCAAATTTGAACTGATTTTTACCTGTCTTTTATTTAGTTCCTGCAGTTGGCTCTTTTATGTTTAAGACACAAAACAACAATAATGAAAACAACCCTTAATACTTAGAAGTTAGCTTCTTTTCATAAGAGATAACTAATCTATTCATTATGTCTATAAGCCAGCAAGACAAATAGACATTAGCTAGAGAATGCTTGTGGGAGGGAACAGATGTGCTTTGGTTATTGAGAGATGTGCTGCTTTGAGACTTAAGGTAATTTATTTCATGTGAGAATTTGGGCTGGTCATTGGAGAAGCACAACTCAAAAATATCCAAGATTCAGGAGAGCCTTCTAGTAATGATAAGCAGCTATTACCTTTATCCTCACCCTTCCTCCAAGCAGTAGTAGAAGTACATCATTTGGTGTGCCCTTCAGACTGTATGTACCTCCACACAGTGCCAGGAAGTAACCCCTTTAGTATAACATCCAGTCTACACATGGCATCGATTCTTTCTTTCTTTGACTTTTCTCTATGATATGTTTGAGAACATATGGGCCAAAGCGACTGAGATTCTTTCCTCTCTTAGGGATGCTCTCTCAGTTACTATTGAGATACTTCCACCAAAGATGTTAGAATCTGTAGAGCTGCTGCTTCCTGCTGTTTTTCGTGGCCATTAGTTTAATGATTTTGGCAGATAATAGGCAATAAATTGAAATATGTTTACATAATGCATTATCTGCTAGCAGTTAAGTTCTAAATCTTTTGTTTGTGGAAATTAAAGTTTGGATAATGTTTTCTCTCCAAACTAAATATTGATGTATACAGTATGTTTCCTTAATGTATGTTGTTATAGCACACAACTGTGGGAATATATAATTTTGCAGTCTGGAACTAATGAAACTACATCTGTGAAAAAGCCGTGCCATTTGTCTTTGTATATCTCAAATATGATTCTGAGATAGTTACAGAAATATTTGTGAGCTCTTACTAGAAAGAGTTTTATAGTTTGTTAATTACTAGCTGTTGAGCAAAAGTTCACATGGAGATTTTGTCTTGAACATCTTTTGTCAGTTCAAACAATAGAGAATATTAAAATAATAGATTGTTTATGCAGTAACTCAAAATAATAGGTCAGAATTAGTTTTTCCTATTAATGTATATATTTCTTTTATGTTAATATTAAAATATACTTGTCAAGTTTACACTGATTAATTTATATATAATGTATTCAGATTACTTATTGTTAGAGGCAAAAGTAATTCTATATATATATAGATTTTAAGCTTTTACCATAAAAAACTTCAAACATATACAAAAATAGAACAGTATAATGAACCCCCATTCAATGTTAGTCACCCAAATTCAATAATCATTAATAGTCTTCCATTCTGACACAGTTTAATTTTAATTGAAACTTCCCGGGTAAGCAAATAATTACTTATAGTTAATGGATAATATGTTAATGAAATAGTACTTTGTAATACAAAGTGATAGTTGTGTCATTTTTTTTTTAAATAGGAAGAGATACCAATGTACTGGTATATATTAAAAGAAGATTAGCAATGTGTGCAAGAAAATTAGGAAGAATAAGAGAAGCAGTAAAAATAATGAGAGATGTAAGTAAGTTTGATGATTGGATGTTTATATTTCTTCCTTCAAAAACTGAAAATGTGGTTTAAGTTGCCAATTATTTTAATGTAAAATCATTGTTTTTTAATTGGTAGTTTTTATAACAAGCTATTTATTAATATAATGTACTTCTAAGGGTTGAGTCTCCACAGTTTTGTTAAGAAACTAAAGAATTTCTACTTTAATGAATTAGATTCAGCTCTATTGAGTTCCTTTGCTATAATTTTAATCTTTTTTCCTTTTAATGTACAGTTGATGAAAGAATTCCCTCCTCTTACCATGTTGAACATCCATGAGAATCTCCTAGAATCACTTTTAGAATTACAGGCCTATGCAGATGTTCAGGCAGTCCTAGCAAAATATGATGGTGAGTGATAATTGACTTAGTTGATAGCATGGTTAAAATATTTTTTTCAATTATGTAATCATAAATGTGATCCTATTCTGGTATTTCTTTGATTTTCTCTTCCCATCTTACTAGTCAGTATTTAGAATCCATGGATACAAGTTATAGTTTCTTCTTTATCAAGACTTTTGGGAGGAAAAGCCTATAAGCAGGAACTTTTCTTCTGTAAAAATTTATTCATTTGTTTATTGAGTGAAGGGCTTGGAATACAATGGTGAACGAGAAGACATGGACTTAGTCCTTGTAGGATTTCCAGTTTAGTAAAGGAACATACAGACAAATGAATAGTAGTTATATTGAAGCATAGTGTGTTAGGTGAGATAATTGGAAAAGTACGGGGTGCTATGGACATAGGATGGTACCTCATTTGTTTTGGAGTGTCAGAGACAGTTAACAGAAGTTGCTTTATGGTATGTATAAGAAATTCAGAATAACATTTTTACAATGCTTTTTGGTTACAAAGTATAATTTGTTATTTCATATGATCAGTATAATAATCTTGTGAGGTGGTAGGACAAGTTCGTTTACTCTTGTTAGTAAAAAGGAAACTGGAGTTGAAGAAGGTTAAGTAATTGGGTAAGGTCCCAGCCAGTAAGTGTGGCAAGCTAACACTTAAATCCAGGTATTCCATTTCTTCACTAGTCTTCCAATAGTAAGAAGTCGGTATATATTGGCTATTTTTATTATTATACTAAACAGTGCCAGTTCACCACAAATGGAGTTGGGAGAATTTTTAAGAAGCATGACCATTCTCCTCATTCTGAGTGAAGCATCAGCTTTTAACATCCAGATGAAAACATCCTAACTAGCATAATATTTCTGGTCATATCTTTCCCTATAACATAGGTACAGGTCACATATTCACCGTTGTTCTGTTGTAAGTTCCTAGCCATTAGCTTGGGAATCCCCATGACTTGGAAAGTTTGAAATGTGTCACACTTGGAAAGAGAAGTTTATTTCTTTTAAACATCTGGAATTCTTACAAGTGCTTCACAATAGTGTAGGCTCATGGAGAAATTTGTGAGAAATTCTTTCCATATGTAACTTATCGGGTGCGTGGCCTGCTTATGATACAGTGAACAAGCTTAGCAACCAAATACAAAAAATCAGATAGGACCTGATTTATTCAAAATAAAATAAAACTAACAACTTAGATATGCTTCTGTATTTTCAGCTGTTTTTATGATTCCCCAGTTTTTACCATTCTAGAATCCTGTAGAAGCTAAAAGCAAATTTATTTCTTTAGTTCTCGATTTGCTGGTGTAACTCTGGAATCTAAAACTTCGAGAGAGTCCACTAGTACTACTCTCCTGATAACATTATTTTGGGCATTCTTTAAGAAAGGATTGGTATGATTAATTATATTATAATTCCTGATTCTTTATTTTATAAAAAATCCTTTAAGACAATGTAGAAAATACAAAAACATTGGAAGAAGAAAAAATTAAAATTACCTATTGTATTAACTGGATTTGACTCCTGTTAAATATTTCTTTTTTTTTTTTCCTGAATCTTAGTTTTTATCTGTTGAATTTGTACCAGGAATTATTCTTATTAAAAATTGTCTTAAGATATTTTTTGTGATTCTTACCTAAGTTGAAAATTACAATTACAGATATAAGCCTTCCAAAGTCAGCAGCAATCTGTTATACAGCAGCACTATTGAAGACAAGGACTGTTTCAGATAAGTAAGTATTGAAAACTACAGTAATGGGCGCCTGGGTGGCTCAGTTGGTTAAGCGACTGCCTTCGGCTCAGGTCATGATCCTGGAGTCCCTGGATCGAGTCCCGCATCGGGCTCCCTGCTTGGCAGGGAGTCTGCTTCTCCCTCTCCCACTCCCCGTTTGTGTTCCCTCTCTCGCTGTGTCTTTCTCTGTCAAATAAATAAATAAAATCTTTAAAAAAAAAAAAAAAGAAAACTACAGTAATTCAGAAAGACTACTAAACTCAAGGCGGGTTTCCCCTGCTATCTGAAAGTTCACTTTATGCCACTTCACTTTTATAAAACACTTACATTAATACCTGTGTTTGCTAACCGAAAGAAATCTGAACAGGATGCTCACATTTATGAAATGGTAATTGCTTCTTCCCTTTACGCCATTCCAGCTTAGGAAAGGTTTCTTAGGAACGCTCTACTTGCAGATCGCAGGGGAAACCTGTATTGTTTTTCACCACTGACTTTAAACAATGCTTTTCCTCCCTGTTTCCTTTTGAATAACCCTTGATCTCATGGGGCTTTGAGGCTTCTTACTAGTGTAGTGAGCACGGTTTTTAGAGCTAAATAAACCTGGATTCCAATTCACAGTCTACTGTATACCAGCTGTGGAACTTCGGGCACGTTAATCAGTTTGAGTCTCTTCCTTTCTGTAAAATGAGAATAATAATACTGTAGCATGGTTGTTTTTGGAGTACATTGTAGCTGTGATGATAATAAGGTGTATGGTAGGGAAATAGTTTCACGCTGTCTGTTCTGAGATTATAATTCTAAATTCTGTTTCCCTTGTCTTTTTGGCTGTCCTTAATGAATTTCTCTTTATTCCACAGATAAGATTTTCAGAAACCAAAGGGCAACCATTTTCTTTCGCCTTAGATTACTATGCCTCAATATGAATTAGAATGGAATATTCACAGTCTGTTTCCTCTCGGTGAAAATTTTATACGAATGTACCTCTATTTCATGAGATTCTCTGGATGTCCCTATGTAGCATTTCTTATTTTATCACCTTTCCCAGAATGTGCCAGTGGACTTCTGAAGGCTTTTACTACCTAAATTTGAAGATTTCCATTTCTTATGCTGCCCTTCTTTTTATGTTGACCCAAGGGCTTTATTTCATGTTTAGTAGTTATTTGGCTTTGTTTTTGGCTATCACCAGAAACCCCTGCTTCAGGAAGTTAGATTATGATCAAAATCCATGGATTTTTATATTAATTTTTTCATGTTGTGGTTTTCTTACAGATTCTCTCCCGAAACCGCTTCCAGAAGAGGGCTAAGCACAGCAGAAATCAATGCTGTGGAAGCAATTCATAGAGCTGTGGAATTTAATCCTCATGTTCCAAAAGTGAGAAATTTTATGATCAAAATGCTACACTTATTTGAGTTTACCAAACTCATGAAAGTATGTAGACCAAAGTTTGGGTCTCTGTAATTCTAGTCAGAATTATTTCAGTCTGTTATATATTTTTTTAAAGATTGATTTATTTATTTGAGAGAGCTCACTCGCATGAGCGTGCACGTTGGGGGCAGTGGCAGAGGGAGAGGGAGAGAGAGCCCTAAGCAGACTCCGCATTGAGTGCGGAGCCTGAGGCAGGGCTCGATCTCATGACCCTGAGATCACAACCTGAGCTGAAACCAAGAGTTGGACACTCAACCGACTGCACCACCCAGGCACCCCAAGTCTGTTAACAATTTTGATACTTAATGACTGTAAAGGGAATCTGGAGTTTTCTTTGTGAGAAGGATTTTCATTACAAATTTCATTTCATTAGTTTAATTGATTAATTACAAGTTTAGTTTCTTTAGCCATTCCATGACTATTCAAATTTGTTCTTCTTGTGTTGGTTTTTGTTGTTATATTTTTCTAGGAATTTATTTCATAAAAATTTTGAAATTTATTGGCACAAAGATTTCATAAAATCCTTTTGTTATCTTGTTAATGTTTGCAGGATCAATTGTGATATCCACTGTTTAGTTCCTAACACTAGTTTTTTTATTTTCTTAACCAGATTCCCCAGGGATCTATCAATTTTATTAGTCTTTGCAAAGAACCAAGCTCTGGCTTTGTCAATCCGCTCTACTATTTGTTTCCTGGTTCATTCATTTCTGCTCTTTATGGGCTTTTTTCAACTTTCTTTGGCTCTATTTTATTATTTTTTTATTTCCTGTATCTTTTTATATAGGTACTTAAATTAACACATTATTTTTCAGCCTTTCTTCTTTCTAAAATATTTGTTCAAGTCGGTAGACCTCTAAGTACAATGTTAACTGCATTGGATAGCAGTATTTTTTGTTTAATTTAATTCAACATATTTTCTAATTTCCATCTTGATTTCCTCTTTCTAAATATATCTTTAGAGATATATTTATTCCATTTAGCTATTTCTTAATTTCCAAACATGTGAAGATTATCTTTTTATCCATGATTTCTAGCATAATTGCATTATGGCCAGAGAACATACTCTATGATTTCACTCCTTTGAAATATTTTTCAATTCTTGAATTTCTGTTTATTTTTCACATCTCCTGTGTTATTTATAGTTTGTGATTCCCTGCCAAAATTTAAAATATACTTTTTTTATCTCTTTGAAAATAGTTTAAAGTAGTTATCTTAAAGTCTTTCTCTGATAATCCACATATCTGGAACTTCTTTCTGTTTCTATAATGTGTTTTTTTCTGTTACATTATTTCTTCTTGTCTTGCTTTCTCTTTTGCCTGATTTTCTTTGACTACGTACCCACTATTTTAATGTAAAAAAAATGTAGAAATAACTTGAAACTTCAGATAATAGTATTGTCCTTCAGAGAGGATTTTCTTTGCTCTTAGATGCTTAGAAGAAGCAACCAGCAGGACAGAATCATCTTAATTCAGTTTCAGGGATTGATATTTTCTGGTCTCCCCAGATGACTAGAAACTGGGCTGAAATCCATGAATGTCTGGGTTTATTTCTGATTCACCCTTATTCCTAGGATGAAGCTTTTCTGGGTCCCAATTCAATCCTGAGGATTTTACCAAGACTCTCACTCTTAGCACACCAGGAACTCCTGACTTTTGTTCCTTTAGCCTTATAAAACTGGCATAAAAAATGAACAGCCTCTTAGCCATCTTGTCCAGAATTGGCAAATGTGGCTTCTCTTATTGCTGCCTTCTTTGGACTGTTTGTTAATTCCTTACCCTTTGTTAATTCTCTGATGTATTTGATTAGGTTTTTAAAAATATTTTGTTGTTTGAGAGGGTTGATCTGAATTATCCAGTCTTCAATTACTGGAAGCAGAAGTTTGAAAATCCTTCTATATGAAATGCTCTGCTCTCTCATGCTGCAGAGTGGTTAAGAGAATGGATTCTGCAATTACACTGCTGAGGTTTGAATTCTGGCTCCACTACTTCCTAGATGTATGACCTGGGACAGGTTACTCAATTTCTCTGGACTTGAGTGACCTTGTGTATAAAATGGGGCTAATAATCATTATCCCTTAGAGTTGTTATTAAGATTAAATGAGTTCATATCTTTAAAGTGCTTAGAAGAATGCCTGACACACAGTAAACATTTCAGAAGTGATTTTTAATGTTATTATCCAGGATGGGATAGAAATCTGTTCCCCTGTGTGAAGGTAAGCAGCAGTTATTAATCAGAACTCCTCAAATTAAATACATCCCTAAGGTGTCTAAAATTTTTATTTATTTAATTCCCACTCAAAATAACAAAATCTGCACCCTATAGTTGTGGACTTGTTTTCTGCTTCAGAAATGCTCTCATGCAAAGTGTATTCTCAGCAGTAACAATTCTGATAATGTGCATTGTGCATTTGTCTTCAAAACTACTGCTGAAGGCACTTGGGTGGAGGGAGGGTAGTAGAAATCCCAGGCATTGCCCTCGTTAAATTAAACTGTTAGATAGATAAAATATATTAATCTCCAGATTGAATCTGCTCTAGATAATCTATAATGCTTTTAGGGATACTTTTTTTTTTTTTTTACTTTAAACACACGAGAAGTTAAAGAAGACCTAAATAAATGGAGATATGTACCATGTACGTGGATTAGAAGACTCAATATTGTTAAGATCACAGTTCTCTCCAAACTGATCTGTAGATTCAATCTAATTCCTATTAAAATCCTATCAGGCCTGTTTGTAGAAATTCACAAACTCATCCTAAAATTGATAAGAAAATGCAAAGGACATAGAATAGCCAAAACAATTTTGAGAAAGAACAAAATTGGAAGTTACCCAAGTTTACCCAATTTCAAGACCTTTTTAAGCTATAGTAGTTAAAATAATATTGGCATAAATATTAAAATATAGATCAATAGAAGACAATAAATAATCCTGAAATAAACTCACTTAATGATGATCAGTTGATTTTCTTTTTTTTTTTTTTAAAGATTTTATTTATTTATTTGAGGGGTGGGGAAGGTCAGAGAGAGAAGCAGACTCCCCGCTAAGCAGGGAGCCCGATGCAGGACTTGATCTCGGGACTCCGGGATCATGACATGAGCCGAAAGCAGTCACTTAACTGACTCAACCACTCAGGCACCCCATCAATTGATTTTCAACAAGAATTCCAAGGCAATGGGTGCCAAGGATAGTCTTTTTTATGGGGCTGGAACAAATGGTGCTGGAACAATCAGTTATCTATATGGAGGAAAAAAGAAAAAAGAACCCAGACCCTTCCTTCACACCATTTACAAAAACGAAGTCAATATGGAACATAGATCTAAATGTAGGAGGTAAAATTATAAAACTTAGAGAAGGAAACAGAAGAAAATCTTTGTGACTTTGGGTTAGGCAAAGATTTCTTCAAAAACATGATCCATAAAAAAGTGGATAAATTGGACTCCTTAAAGTGTTTGCTCCTCAAAAGACATCATTAAGAAAATAGAAAGCCAAAGACTAGGGAAAAATATTTGCAAGTCATATACTATTAAAGTTCCATATCCAGAACTTATAAAGAACTCTTACAGCTCAATAATAAGAGGACAAACAACTTAATTAAAAAGTTAGCGGGACGCCTGGTTGGCTCAGTCGTTAAGCGTCTGCCTTCGGCTCAGGTCATGATCCCAGAGTCCTGGGATCAAGCCCCGCATCAGGCTCCCTGCTCCGCGGGAAGCCTGCTTCTCCCTCTCTCACTCCCCCTGCTTGTGTTCCCTCTCTCGCTGTGTCTCTCTGTCAAATAAATAAAATCTTTAAAAAAAAAAAAAGTAATTAGCAAAGGATTCAATAGTCACTTCACCAAAGAAGATATATGAATAGGTAATAAGCACATGAGAAGATAGCATCATTAGTCATTGGGGAAATACAAATTAAAAGCACAATATGATATTACTCTATACCCACTCAAATGGCTATACTCACAAAGACTGACAAAATCAAGTGTTGGCAAAATGTGGAGAAACTGCATACATTGCTGCTGGGCATATAAATTAGTATAGCTACTTTGGAAACAATTTTGTAGTTAAACATATGCTGGCCTTATGACCCATCAGTTTCAGTCCTAGATATCTACCCAAGAGCAATAAAAACTTATGTCCATACAGAGACTTGTATGCAAGTGTTCATAATAGTATTATTCACAATAGCCAAAAACTTGAAACAGTCCAAAAACAGGTGAGTGAACAAATAAATTGTAGTTATCTCCATACAGTGGAACACTTCTTAGCACTAAAAAGAAACAAACTATAAGTACTTGTAACAACATAGATGGACCTCAAATAGTTTATGCCAAGTGAAAGAAACCAGACACAAAAGACAACATATTATATGATTTCATTAATATGAAATTTCTCGAGCAGGGAAAACAATAGACACAAAAAGCAGATCAGTGGTTCCCTGGAGCTGAGGGTGGGAGTATGGATTGACTGCAGACCAGCGTGAGGGAGCTTTTTGTGGTGATGGCTGCACAACTGTATAAATTCACTAAAAATCATTGAACTGTATACTTACAATGGTGAATTTTGTGATATGAAATACATACCTCAGTAAAACTGTAATATACAATTTAAGTATATATTTAGTATATAATGTGTATATACTTTAACATTTTTAAATCATTTCTATTTGTAGGTAGAAATTTAAGTATTTTCCCCCAGCTAAACATCAAAGCCAGTTGACAGTTCCACTCTATCAAAATATCTAGCTAAGTAGAATGGTGCTATAAGCCTTACAGTATTGTTTGTGGATACACACTGTAGGCTGGGTATTTTTAAACAGGATCATTATTAAGGTTTTTTGGAGAAAATTTAAGCTCCAACAACTTGGATAATATCCCACCTAAATAACATTGGCGTTACATGAACTGGAGAGCTCTGGTCTGTAAGGCTATTTTTGCTAGGGTTTTACAAGTGATG